ATTTAAGTGTCTGCTAAAGTTCCTTGAGATTTTAGCTCTTTGTGCCAGCCACTTTTCATGTTAAATACCTACATGTTTTTCTATTTCCATTCCTTAATTGAGACTGCACTGAGCTGCCATTATTGTTTTAATGAAATAGTTTGACATTTGTCAAATATACTCATGTTTATTTGTCGAGTCTTCAGAGCTCTAATTCATGCTAACTATGGCGATGTAGTTAAGAGACTACTAGCTTAGCACAAAGACTACCATGACAGTTTGAGGGCTACAACAACTGTTTACTCGAGTTTTCAGTTTTGTTAGCTGGGCTAACATTATGTAAATTCAACCGTAAATTTTCATCTCTTTTGTAGCCTCTTCACCAGTCTACAACCATGCAATTTTGGCTCCCCCTTACCGGTTTTGTAGTGACTAAGCAAGGCAGCCATTTATGCAGCAGAAGCAGGTCGATGTTAGCCGTTAGCTAGCAGTAAACCTAGTTTAATCCTGCAATAAAGTGGTCACTTGTCAAGAGCTTCATTACTTCTTTACGTTTTGTCATTATTGCCTATCCTGCCTTTAATAAGACTTACAAATATTCTATAATAGACTGTCTCTTTTTACCTATGAAATTATAAATGTGACTGGCACCTTACAAGATAACTGGTTACCATATCAAAACTAACCATATCAACAATAAAGTTAATATTTGGTTATTTGTAATTTGTAACTTACAAATTGTATTTTCTTTTTAAATTGTCAAACCACTGTGGTTATCACTTAGTACTCCGTGTAGCCTATGCAGTTTTTTTTTCTTTTTTTAGAGCAACCAAAGTTGCAAGTAGCGTAGCATTCATTTGAATGTGGTTCCAAGTTTTGGGGAACATTTATTATTCATTTTAAATTCCAATAATTTTCAGTATTACTATAATTTCACCACATTTAAAATTATAACCCACTTGTTTTTTAACTTAGTGGAGGTAAGAGCTGGAGGTAAACTGGCTACAGTAGCTACTACTAACAAAAAAACAAACAAGCCCAAAACAGAACAAACACATTTTTAAAGTCAAAATTACTTGTATTCAATAATCATTAGTCATAGTCAATAATACCAATTAATAGCAATACAAGACAATTTGTTTTTGTTTGTTTTAATTGAAACATCTTCAGTCCTTCCTCCCACCTCATGCTTTTCCACACACACACTTCCATTATTAGATTGATTATATTTGCTAAGTGGTGCATAACCCAAACACACAGAGGAAACACTTGAAATGCTTGTACATTCCTCCCCCCCGCCGGCCAATCTCCTCAAAAGACAGCATTTGTTTTTAGTCTGCAGTAAGTTACTGTGCCACAGTGGCCGACTTGTTTCTTGGTCTTATAGTGCTGAACATAAACTTCTGTTTTCAATCAGCTTTAGGTAATCACTGAACTCAGCTCTGTTGTATTATCTTTTCATTTCATCTTCAGACTCATACAAACAATTCAATCCAGTCATCCATTACTTAGCTCCAAGTAGAAATAAAAAGTAGATCAGCTTTCCAATAATGCCTCATATTTATATGACTGACTGAACAGTTAAATATAGTATCTTGTCTTCTGGCTCAGCCTTTACAACCAAAAAGTATAGTTTAACATGATTTTTTTCACCCTTATTTCCCCTCTGATCTGCAGTAAATACGAGTTAAACAGTTGTTAGAGCAGTTAAAATAATTTATTGCACTTAGAACTAGAAAGAGACATTGAGCCAAACACAGTTAAAACAAAAACAATGAGAGTGCTGATGTTGTTAAAGAGTTTTAATCAAGCAAATATCCAAAAAGCTTAAACAGGATCAGGTTAGGAACAGATCACCGGTCACAGCAGATACAGTTATTACAAAGGCATTACACAGCAGTGGATTATTGCTAGGCCACTGTTGTTTTAAATAAAATCTCAGACTGGATCATGGATCACATGAGAACCTGAGGTGAGCAAAGCAATGAGACAGGGGGTCGCAGAGCCCCTCTCCCCCATCCCAAGACCCTGGCATTTAAGAGTCCTCAAAACATTGGGCTCCAACTGTGAGCTGTCCTGTAAAAAGCCTGACACTACTCCTGCACTAGAATATGACTCACTATGCATGCCATTCGGAAAATTAGGAGGCAAATTAAGACTTCATAATTATTCTCAGTTCTTTATGAGTCTTCATTTCTGCTTGAACAGCTAATGCTCATGCAAACGTAATTTTCTATCCAATTAGCACATCATTATCCCTGTTTGAAATAATCAAATCCCGTTACTATTCAGATGCAGATTAACTGCAGCTGTATTGTGTCCTAAGACCTGAGTTTGTTTTTTATGGCGTCTTCTCACAATTTTAGACTACTTGGGGACGGTCTTTATATCTTCTCAAAGCCCCGACTCAGGTTTAGATTGAAAAATATGTAAATAAATCAGACAGAAAGAACATTAATAAGCACGAGGGATCAGTGTGCAATAGACTCCACATCTGCCGGTATGAAAACAATTCAACTCTACTGAAATAAGCATGCATATTCACAATCCAACGAGAAACACTGAGACAATCTGTCTTACTAATACTGCAGCCCGCAAATCAAAGTATGCATCAGGAACGTCTGTGGAGAATCTGTGCACACAGACTAGATACTGAGATTCAAAAATATCTGTCTTTAAGAGGAAATCTTTCTGGAAAAATAAATGTTTGCAGCCAAAAATTAGTGCAGGTTTTTTTTTTTTTTTTTCTGTGTTGTTTGTTTTGCTAGAGGCAACAGAGGTGAGACCAACCTATCATTTATTTGAGATGTGAGCACTCGTTCATTTGAAGGCAAATCCTCGGTGAACACATAAATATATATTTATAGTTTGTCTTTTGTAGACTCGCCATCAATACGAGAAACAAGATACAATTTCATGGCCACGGCAAGAATGAGAGAAATCAAAGAAACACGGCAGCGAATTAAGAGCTGACATTGCATGAACGCTTCATAATTTGTTCTGTCGACACGTTCCCTTAATTTTTTTTCCAAAGTAAAATAATGTCTGATCAGCTGAACAGGCTAGGGGGAAAAAAAGAACTGTGATTGAGATTTTTTTTAATACACTAATATATCTATCTATATCTATATATCTATCTATATATCTATATATATAAATAAAGATATATAAAACCCCATTTTATCCTGAATCTTACACTGAAAACAATTTCATGGCTGGCATAAGGCAAAGGGAAAAATGCATATTTTCATGTTGTTCAATGATTTCTCTGCAATTATTATGTGCCAAAGCACTCTGATTAGCACTCTGCGGGGTTAGAAGAGCTTTACAAAAGGAAAAAGCATACAATCAGAGAGATATTGTTGCCCACAGGAATAAGCTCGCCATACCATATGATTCCTTTCAAACTATTATCATGTTTTCAGACAGCTGTCACAGTGAGTAGACGTGACTCGTGATGGATCATACAGATCAAGCGCACTTCCATTCCTTCTTTCTCAGAGAACTACATTGCAGGCTCAGCTTGCTGCAGTAGCATCATCAAGACAAGCAGATATACTCCGCGCTGTGTGGTAAACTCTCTGCGCTCATAAACCAGATTAGGTGCTGAAGCTTGGAATTTTCTATTTCGTCACCACCTCCAGAGGGCATCGCTGAATGGACCGAAAGCGAGTGGAGCTGGCTGAGCTGTGGCAACGCTGCCAAGACTGGTGCCAGGAGAATAAATGGAACATTTGCTATCACAAATGTTCAGACTATTGGCAGGCACTATAGCAACATATATAAAAAAAATGTTGTTGTTGTTTTTGGGTTTTTTTTTTTAAAATGGGATTTTCTTTCTCTCTTTCTTAATTTTTTGAACAAAGTGGGCCTCACAGGAATACTGTTAAAGATTTGCTACTGTTCATAAAGGAGGTCATCTCAACAACATCGGAGTACATGGTTATTAGAAAGCAGCGCAGGCTCAGATGCTTCATAATCGCTCGCCTGCCAGACAAGCCTGTTCTTTCTTAACAGGATGCAGACTTGTATATTCCCAAACCTGGGATGATATTAAGCTCCTACACTAATATACTTATTTATATGCTAATACACTGTACATGTACTACTTGTTTGATCAGTTGTAGCATCATTTCATCCTCAACTTTGAAAGTGACTTAGCAGACTGTGGCAACGTGCAAACAGTAGTGAAGTACCTCCCTGTGGCTCGTTTATCAAATTATAGCTTAAAATTTTTTTTTACATACAAGGAGGTGAATTTCCCAGCTTATCATCACCATCATTGCAAAAAGTACCTGAACTGAGCTGTTCTCCAGTTTGACAAACGTTCCAATTAACAACAAGCTTAATGACAGCAACATGTGAAACACTATAACGTTACATCTAGAGATATTAGATCTGACTGAAGAGGAAAATGTTATTAATGTCAGTACCATTCAAATAAACAGAATAAAGAAATATTCTTAAATGGGTCAAAATCACAGCGTCTTTAGAATTAAAACAAAAAAACAAAACGAAGAAAATAACCCCCGCCCAAAGTCATTATCCAGTGTCGATTCAGGATCAGCCAGGTAATGTGAATCGCATGACAATGTCAGACTTTGGTTTAACATAAAATCAACAGTAAAACCAACACTATTATACATGACAGATATCTGACAACAGATTCTAACAATGTGTGTTAGCGAATCACAAGTAACAAGTGGTTCTGGGAGCCACTCTGCAGAACAAACTAAGGTACATAAGAAGGACTGAATCTCTTGGTTTCCTCACCTTGCCCTTCCTCTTCTTGTCCCCTCCAAAGAACTTTCCAATCTGATCCAGGAGGCCGGGGTTCTTCTTCCTCCGACCCAGGCCGAAGGCGGCCTGTGCAGAGCTGCTTGCGGATGCCATGGTTGTATTAGCAGTTGGTATTACGCTTGTGTTTGTCAAATGTGGGGTTCTTGCGTCTCTCTTAAATGAGAGCCGACAGAGGAGGAAAAAGAAAAAAATAGAGGAAAGGGAGGGGAGGAAAAAAAAAGCTAGCCTAATCTAGGTCCTGTTCTTGGCTCTCCGACCCGCACTCTGAAGCCGCTCCGCTGTGCTCCTGGATGGTCTGCAGCTCGTCCGATTCGGAGGGTCGGTCTTTGAAGGTGTTGTCCTCTCGGCCCGGGGCATCTCGGGAGAAGAGGCGGACCAGGTGGGGGCGTGGTGTGGCAGCGTCAGGGTCAGCTGTGCTGGCGGGGCTCCAACACTGGTGGGGGTCTGTGGAGTCAGTCACCGCTGGCTTCTCCGAGACGCAGCCATTGTTCTGGTTCGCATCTGCCTCACTCAGGCCTGCGCGAGAAACAACAAGGGTCATCTATGGGCTTGGGCCTGCATGGCACACAACAAACCCAGAGCAGCACAATGGCTTCTTTTGATGAGAGCAGGGCCTTCCTGCTGCAGCGAAGACCAACAGAGCTAATACAATTTACATGTTAGCTGCAATGAAACCAACCAGTGAGCTGGAAAAGGTGTGAATGAGGCATGAGTAACTGAAAGATGTTCAGTAAGTTAACTACTCCCTTCTCAGGGGCTCTTACCACATTGTAGGCTCTACTTGTATGCTGTAGTAGGTGGGATCACTAGTTTTGACTCAAACACAAGTAATTCGACTCTTGATTTTTTTTTTTTTTTGCAATAATTCAACTATTTCACTTTACAAGAGCAGTTTTAAAACAATCACTCTGAAACTTGACAATGGCAACGGATTATCTTCCCATCGTGGCACTTTTTCGCTTCAACTCAGGGGCGGCTCTACGGGGGGCAATCCCCCCCCCCTGCTGTAGAGTCTTGCCCCCCCCACACTCTCTGAATCGTCCACTTTGACAGCTATCCGTTAAACTGGCCAGCTCCCACAGCAGAGGACATCCAGTGCATTCCTCCATCCAAAACAATACGCACACTGTACTGACAGAAATGGTGTAGCACTACACCAGAGAATCTGCATGCTAATGCTGGCTGAAACAGTGGTCTTTTGTCACAGCTGCATAGTTATTACAAATAAACAAAGGGCCCACTGTCACTAAAATAACTCCTATAAGTATGGATTTTCAGCCCGATGCACGGTGACACTTATCCGATTTAGGACCCGAGAGCTACCAGGCTGCTGGCTGTGGGTATAGAGCAAGTTTGGATCTAGTCTATGCAGAAGTTAAGCTTTGATTTACTACAATTTTAGGTGGAATTACTTCTACAGAGACACATCCACTGAATCTTCTTTTCTTCTGGAAGATTTACATCTCGTGAATCACTTAAAGATCAATTGAAAGATGGGTCATTCCATCATCCATTATTCCGCCTATTTTAACAAGCCAATACTCAGACATTTATTGATGTATCCGTCCCAAATTACAGATCCTGATTAATTATAATGGTA